AAGATCATAGCCTTTGCAGTGCGGATGAAATGTTCATCTCTGCACCGCACATTCCTGTTCCCTGTCTTAATAAACTGAGCTGAATCACCAAGATAAATATAGAAATCCAATGAATTGTGCCTCAACTGATGGACAGGAGGCTGGCCTCAGGGGCCAAGTTCTGTCTTGACTTTCAATAAGGGTTAGTTAATAAGTAGAGTCAAAAATGGTTTCTTGAAATTCAGATTGCTCTAATCCACCAAAATTGGTGCTAAAAGATCAAGTCAGAATCAAACACAGTGGTCTTTGCCTTGCAAGTGAGACATGATTATGGAAAACAAGAGGAACTTAGAAGGAATCTAGTCAACAACAAATAATTTGCTTGTAAGTACCTCTGAATACTTGTTCTCCCCGGGTGTTCTCAGACAGTTGCATTCCGGCAGGTGACATATCCCTGGGTGTTCTCAGACAGTTGCATTCCGGCAGAACTTCTCTTCTCACATTGTGTCATCATCGTGTTCTAAAACAGTAGTAAATAACCCTGTTTCAGCTAATAAACACAACCAAGTGACTTCCATAGGAAGGAGAGAAGGAAACAAATTCAAGAAAAGGGAACAGTATCTGTTAGAAGGAACAATTTATGGGAAGCTTTCAGAATATAAATGTTTATCTTTATCAGTACTGTTCCTAATTGGTCTACGGAATTTTTCTAGTGAAATAAATGTGGTATTAGTCTGTGTTGTTTTTCAGGTCAGTGGATAATGTATTATCTGTAATATAATAATTATCATGTGCCATTAAGGCATTTCTTATTTATGGCAACCATTTCCAGATTTGGAGTACTCGGAAGTGACTTAGCATTTTCTTGTTCTGGGGTGCCTTTGGACTGTGCAGCTTGCCCAAGGCCACACGGGCCGGTTCTACTCATAGGAGGCACAGTGGGGTATCAAATTCCAGCGGTCTAAACCACTGAGCTATTCAGCCAGTTCTTATCTGTGATACCGTGTGCTTAAATGACTTCAAGTTGAGGATGTAATAACTACTTGAAAATGTTTTTATCCTCAGTGGGAAAAAAGTCACGTGGTCAGCTGCTATGAGTTGTTAAAAACACGCTTCTGTTCAAGTGAAAAACCTTGTATTTGTCTTATCTGTGATACCGTGTGCTTTAATGACTTCAGGTTGAGGATGTAATAACTACTTGAAAATGGTTTTATCCTCAGTGGGGAAAAAGTCATGTGGCCAGCTGCTATGAGTTGTTAAAAACATGCTTCTGTTCAAGTGAAAAACCTTGTATTTTGTCCATGGAAATTCTATTCAGCCAAAAGCAAATGTCTTGTTTTTCAAAGTATAACAAAATATACATTTTTCACACAGAGATACCTTCTAGATTTTTAAAAAAGTACAAAGCGATGAAAAATACACAAAATCTTCATAAAGTCATGGGGGGGGGGCTTTAATTTCCCCCTCCAGCGGAAGCAACTAAGTAAATGAATATGTGCATCACTACTGTACTTCGGTTGCTTAAGGACCAGAGGGCCCTCAAAATGAAACTACAAGTGATTGTTTAAAAACTGGATTTCTGACTAAAATAAGGTTGGAAGGATCTTCCTATCTATCACTTTATTTTAGAGGCGATATCCACCCCACTGAGACATGTTTTAGGAACTAATAAAAATGGGTGAATTCTTTTACTGGGGAATGGAAAGCTCTAAGAACCACAGAATGGTCATATCTCTTTGGGGGGAAACTCCAGAGATATAACTGCATTATAAAGCGACATCAGTTTGATATCACTTTCAGTATTGTAAAGAATTCTGGGATTTGTCTGTAAATAAAACATACCATACGGCAAGCTAGACTAGATTCAGATGAAGGAAGAAGGGAAAATTGGTGGAAGAAACAACAATAAATTAAGATATACAGAGGACACCATCTTACTGGCAGTAAGCAGCAATGACTTGAAACAATTGTTAGGGAAAGTAAAGAAAGAACGTGCCAAAGCAGGACTGCAGTTGAATGTTAAGAAGACCATAATCATGATTACCGAGAAACTATACAACTTTAAAATTGGAAGTTGAAATAGTTAGAGATTTTGTATACTTTAGTTCAATCATCAATCCAAATGGAGACTGCAGCTAAGAAATCAGAAGAAAAATGAGATTTGGAATGGCAGCAACGAAGGAACTAGAAAAGATAATCAAGTGTAAGGATGTGAAACTGAAGACTAAGACCAAGATCATCCATGCTATTGTATTTCCAGTCACCATGTATGGGTGTGAAAGTTGAACAGTTAAGAAAACGTTGTTCAATTGTAATGTGATGATAGAAAAGAGCTTTGTGGATACTCTGGACTACCAGAAAGATGAACAAATGGGTCCTAGATTGAATAAATTCTAACCTGTCTCTGGAAGCAAAAATGCTGAAACAGCCTATCCTACTTAGAGCTTTGCGGATACTCTGGACTACCAGAAAGATGAACGAATGGGTCCTAGAGTGAATACATTCTAACCTGTCTCTGGAGGCAAAAATGCTGAAACAGCCTATCCTACTTTGGGCACATCATAAGAAAACACAATTCTCTGGAAAAGACAATAATGCAGGAAAGGTGGAAGGCAGCAGGAAAAGAGGAAGATCAAATACGAAAAGGACCGGATACTCTGGACTACCAGAAAGATGAACGAATGGGTCCTAGAGTGAATACATTCTAACCTGTCTCTGGAGGCAAAAATGCTGAAACAGCCTATCCTACTTTGGGCACATCATAAGAAAACACAATTCTCTGGAAAAGACAATAATGCAGGAAAGGTGGAAGGCAGCAGGAAAAGAGGAAGATCAAATACGAAAAGGACTGACTCCCTAAAGGAAACCACAGACATGAGTCTTCAAAAGTTGAACATGGTTGTTGAAGATAGGACATTTTGGAGATTGCTCATTCATTTGGAGGGTTTCTTTAAGTCAGAAGCTACTTGATGGCACATAACAGCAACAAATAGTTTGCAAAGTACTTAGAATTCCCTGCTATAGTTGGTAGGGGGCACTAAAGCCCTCTAAGAAAGTATTCTAAATATGCTACTAATACCCTGTCCTTCAGCTATTGAGACATGTAATGCCAGGTAGGGACAAAAGACTATATCGATATTTGGGTAGACTGAAAAGATGTTTCTTTCTTGGACGAATTCGCTACACTATGCACTATATACTGTATGGATAATATTTGTTCTTTTTGCTACTGCCAATGCTGGGACGGCAGCATTGTAGTAAACTCTGGAAAGCAACAACTTCATCTGTAAATGTGTTTTCCCAATCATCCTGATAAGCTCGTTGTAGAGTAAATGCATGTTTTCTTAATTGTTGAACTGATATGAAAGCCAAGTCATCCAAAAAGCCAAACTTGTTGTTTATTGAAGAATATTGTTCCCCTCTTTCATGATATTGATAAGGGTGTCAATAACTGCATTTTAAGGCTGAACTTGAAACTTTTTGCTTCCACAATATCTTCAGTCCTGATATTATCAAAAAATGTTTTACACTTTCTATTACAGCTTTCATACTATCAAGCAGGATAGTCTTAGCCGTTTCTTTCCACGTCTTGAAACTCATTTCTGAAACTGAACATATTTCGCAAGTGACTCAAGCATGTTGGTTACAGTGCCCAAGTTTGATTAAACTGATTTAAAATCCTGCTCCATATGATGCACATGCAGATATTTTCCAATTTCTTCATTTTTTTAAAGAAAGCAATATCACCTAATGCTGTGTGTCATAATTTTCATCTGGATAATTTCCCATATTTTGAAGACATTCAATAATGTTGCAATATTTCAGTTGCAAAGCTTCAACAGCATTAGCATGGCTAGATCAGCGAGTGTCTCCTTGCAGCTTCAAGAAAAGTACCCATCCTTTTTCATTTGGTTTCAGATGCTCTAGAAGCAAAGACAAACAACAGGACGAAGAAGAGAAAACTCAAATAGTATCTGAACCACAGGGGAAAATTTTCAGCACATGGACAGACACTAACAGCTCATGGTCCAACCAGATTCAAAGAATGAACAGTACATGGTACATATTCTGCCAGTGGATTGATGTTCTGAATGCATGTCTGCACTCCTTTATATTTTCCAGACATATTACTACCATTGTCATAGGCCTGACCATGACAGTCTTTGATATCTTTAATACGTTGTGGTCTTGAAGGATCTTGCAAATTGTATCAGATAATGATTGTCTTGTATGCAAAAATATAGGGACAAATTGCAGAAATCTTTCCACTGGTTCACCACTGGTTCTACTGACATAACACAATGTAAAGGTTAACTGGTCCAAGTGACCCACATCTGGAGTGGAATCCACACATATTGAATAATACTTAATCAGTTTGACCTCCTTCACAGCTGATTTTTGAAAGTTCATGTCCATCAAATTAATAAATTCTTCACAGACATGCAGTGACAGGTAAGAAGGATGACCTTTACCTTTGTTAGAATACCTATCAATATGTGAACAGTACATTAAAAAAGGGCCAAACTGATAGTTTCCATTGTTTGGTGGTCCAAATCTCTCTACTGTTCCATAGAATGCAAGACTATGTTTGGACACGAATTTAATGATAGCTACAACACGTTTTAAAACCTCTGTCCAGTATTTCTCACAATTCATCATGTTTTCTTCCAAAATGGTATCAATGTGCCATTGAATACAACACCTTTGTATGAATGCACGGGCACCATCATGCAGACGGGAGTGCCTCCACCAGAGCACAATGGAGGTCAGCCCCAATATGTGTGTCCTTCATGCAGGCCCAGAGTGGCCTGAGGAGGAGGACTGCACTTCCTTGGTAGAAACGTTTCTGCGTGACAGCACAAGTTAGTCCAGATGTTACAAAGGAGGTGGGAGGGCTCAGGTGAAATGAGGCAGATTTCTCAGAGCTGTGGGTTTCCCCACAAGCTGACTCACAGACAAAAAATTTCCTTAGAAGCAATAAGCTGTTGATAATGTAGGTCATCACTTTCAAACCAACTTTCTGTCTCCCCTTCCCTCTTTGTCCATTAAGCAATCAATTCCAGATCATGCATGTTAAAGAAAGAGCAAAACTTCATTCGACAACTCTTAATAACGCAGTGAAGCTCAGGACAGAAGTGGGACACCTGGCCTAATGGAGACTAAGGTAAAAAAGAACTCATTTATGCATTGAACAATTGACTGTGCTGTACATAAATGGATTTTTTCAGTATGTTACTCAGGTGATAGAGGGGCTCGTGCTTCCTATATAATCCAAGGGTATGATCACAGAGGAAGAGAGGTCACAATGTGGACCATTTATGGAGCAGCCTGGCTCAATCTATATCCCAGCCATCATATGACACATGGGGAAATGAACTCCAGCTCAACCCTAATTCATGCCCAATCTGTACCTTTTTGGTCCAGCTGGTAGGGCTTCTACTTTTAAGGGGCCAGGCTGGAGCAATCCCCCAGAAGGGCTGCTTTCTGGTGTGATCAAGTGTATGCCTTTGTAGCTGCCCAGTAGCATCCCATGTCTCCTTATTCAAAAGGTTAATTTCTGGTTTTCTGATGCAATGTTTGTCTTTGTTGTTGAACTCTTATTCTGACTCTCTTCTTAAATCTTTTTAGAAATATGTGACTGCCCTTTAAAAATGTTTTACTGAGCAGACATCTGTCTTCAGGCTCCTTCTACACCATGCCTCTCCCCAACAGGTGCAAAATAAATAAATAAATAAATATAATAAAAATATAAATATAAAATTTGCGGTCAGGGTGGTCAATGTCTGGCTATTCGTCAGCAGCTGGTTCCCAAGCAGGTAGAGAGCTCTTAGTTGTCCAATTTGAAAACACATTGCACTTACTTCTCTTCTGAATGGATTTTTAGTTCTTTTTACCTTAGTCTCCATTAGGCCAGGTGTCCCACTTCTGTCCTGAACTTCACTGCGTTATTAAGAGTAGTAGAATGAAGTTTTGCTCTTTCTTTAACATGCATGATCTGGAATTGATTGCTTGATGGACAAAGAGGGAAGGGGAGACAGAAAGTTGGTTTGAAAGTGATGACCTACATTATCAACAGCTTATTGCTTCTAAGGAAATTTTTTGTCTGTGAGTCAGCTTGTGGGGAAACCCACAGCTCTGAGAAATCTGCCTCATTTCACCTGAGCCCTCCCACCTCCTTTGTAACATCTGGAGTAACTTGTGCTGTCACGCAGAAACGTTTCTACCAAGGAAGTGCAGTCCTCCTCTTCAGGCCACTCTGGGCCTGCATGAAGGACACACATATTGGGGCTGACCTCCATTGTGCTCTGGTGGAGGCACTCCCGTCTGCATGATGGTGCCCGTGCATTCATACAAAGGTGTTGTATTCAATGGCACATTGATACCATTTTGGAAGAAAACATGATGAATTGTGAGAAATACTGGACAGAGGTTTTAAAACGTGTTGTAGCTATCATTAAATTCGTTTCCAAACATAGTCTTGCATTCTATGGAACAGTAGAGAGATTTGGACCACCAAACAATGGAAACTATCAGTTTGGCCC